CCGCCAAGAATTGGACTGTAGCATCAATGCTTACTACTCCAGGGACACTGAAACACCTATTTTGCTTCATAAACAACACGCGATGATTCCAACACATCATCGGGGAGTTGCCACCCTTGAAGGACCGTGAGGAAGAACAGTGAGCCGATATACATATGATTCTTCTTTTCTTATCCTTCTCTTTCTTTTTATCTTCTCATCTCTCTCCATCTCTCACACAAAATTACTTTACCCACATACTTTATCATCCCACCACACAGACAATATCTCTCCTTGCATGACCAGTGTATAATCGAGCCCTCGAGGCTAGATGGACGCGCCAAATGGTGCCTCTGTTGTAGATCCCTATGGGATCTAAAAGTTGACAGCTGGTGATTATCTGATACAGACAATGATGCTCTCCACGAGCACACAGAAAACAAACAGTACATATGTGGACAGGATATTGCTACCATATGCTACAGCGCAGAGGCAAATAAACATAATTTAAATAAAAAAAAACTTGCCAGTCAGTGGCCTGTTTCCCACAAGTCAGCCAAGGGTCACAAGTCAAGCCTTATAGGCTGCAAGTATACTTGACCCGGACTCGTGGACATCTCTAGCACCCATCATGGGTGAATGATCTGCTCTTGGTGCTGCAAGCTCTGCATATACCTATCTTGTGCTTGGCCAATGATCTCATGGACCATGACAAACTTGGGCTACTTATGGATAATGTCAGATTGACATGTTGGATGTCCCTCACTAATGATGTTCAAGCAGCTATTTGAGTCCATCTTCTGCATAACAGGATCACTTATGACTTACAGGGGAACAGTGTACCAACCACAGAAGCTCTGTAGCTCCAGGTATACCTCCGTGTTATAACTGTTCCAAAGCACTGTCATGCCTTCACAAGGCTGGTGACTTCAAGCCATGCCCTGTCTGTGGAGCGCCTGCGCTATGATGAATATCAAAATTGATGCGTTATTCGGACCTGAACTTCCTAAACGTCTTTGTAGCTTAATATCGATAAGTAGAACTGTCCATCCTCAGCTTGTGCCACCCCATTGGTTATACATGTTCATATCCCATGGTAGTTCAAGGGAAAATGCAAACGTTGGATGAATGATTCTGGCCAATCGGGCTTGACATCTGTTATTATTGAAATTTCAATGAGCTCCATTTGTGGCGTAATTATTGAGCTATTCAGTGAAATCTGTTGTATCTCAATACCTTTACTTTTGACCCCCAGTATTCGTATTGACAGTATCAGTGTATAGGAGCAGATACTTTCTCTGGGTGTATCGGTATATACCCAACCGTTACCTTTACATGCACCACTTCGACATTGACATATATAGATGACCGTAGAGGATCGCAAAGCAGCAACCACCATCCCGAAATTGATAATGCATACTTAGATGTCAACGAATGTCAATGCAACTGATTCGTGATAGAACTAGTAAACAGATATGAGGAGGACAAGAAGCACGACAGGACTGGAAACAATGGGTGGTATTGACTATGATCGTATTTGTATACATGATAAGTTAAATCCATCCTGGCTGCGACAGATAGAACTAGTGAGGCCGGAGAGATGGATACACGTAAAAGAGAGGGTCGCACCTAGAAGAGACTGGGGAGGAGACAGATGCACGTAAAAGGGAGGGGTTGCACCTAGGAGAGACTGGGGAAGAGCAAATCGGGACCCGTCAAATCATAGAGAACCGGGCTTCCCGCAGAGTCCTAAAAATCTCGATGTGGCCCCGGCTGTTGTTACCAGAGACGACCCGAATGAAAGAGCAAGTGTTGGGTCCATGACACGCTTCAGTTTGATTTCATTGCAATCTTAGGCGGCTAGCCGTTCAATCTACAGTGATTGTGTCAAGGTTTTTTTTCGTACGTTATCTCTTTCACCAGAAACAAATCTTTTTAGTATCTGCAGTCCATCATGCATTAATTCAAGGATTGGTATTGAATATTGAATATTGAGGCCTGGAGTTGAGCCCAGTGAAAACCTGCACTGGGTTGAGCCGAGAAAAAGTCGTGTTCCAGCTGTGATCATCCGAGATCAGCTGTTTTCCCAGAAATTCCAGATATCAGCCATACAGGCTGTTCTTGTCTGTGTTTATCTGGCAAGAACCGCACAGAGAGTGAAAATTTAGTATTGTATATAACTGTGTTCTTCTGGGATAATATGAGTTCATCTGGCCTGAACTGTACAAGATACAATGTGATATTACTATTACTGTAGGCTGTTCCCATCTGGGTCCATCTGGGATAGTCTGAGTGAATCATATTAGAGTATTGGATTATTATCAACTATGACATACAAACTACATATAAATTACACCTGTACAAAGGCAATACGAGGCCGCAGTTACGAGCGCTATGTAAGTACATTGAGCTGACTATGCATTGAACTGGCTCTACATAAGACAACCTCTACATATAAACTGTAACAAAGAAAGCACGCATATTACATGTCAGCGTAGGATATTGACAAACACGAGAGCTAAAAAAAATGTTCAAGTAACTAGCTCAAAAGAAAAAGTATAGCTCACCTTCGGAATGTACAGGAGTTGATGGAAGCACTAGCGTGTGGAATACCGGCGTGATACAACCAACAAGAGCTAACCAAGAAAAAAATTAGTAAATTATTCAAGACAAGACTGAGATAGCTCACCTTGGAATGACCTAGCCCAATGAATCCATCCTCAAGTCTCTACTAGAGTCCAAAGCGAGTTGAAGAGTCATTGAAAGAGTTGTTGAATATGTACTGAGTTCATACTAAATAGACAGAGGTAGACAGAGTAAAGGAACAAACGAGCGATGTAAAAAAACTTTCAAAATGTCGAAATTTGTTGTGTCACATGCTAAGCCGCTCGGCCGCATTCCCAATTTCCCTACAAAGTAAAAAATATCTCAAAGTCCGAGCGCCAAAGTCATGTTATTGCTGCGTACTTGAGTCGCAAACTCAAACTTAGAGACTGTTCTGCATGAATTTCCCACCAATAGATTTGAGATTAAATTGAAAAAAAAAATCGCCAGCTATACACAGTTGATACACGGACAGACACAGACCTACTCAGATATACGCCAAATGCCCAGATCAGCCCAGTGTGGGTTTTGACTGGGGTTGAGCGCTGAAGATTTGAAGATTTGAGGGCCTGAAGCTGAACGTTGAACGTAACGTTGAGCCGCTGAACCGCGGAAGGCCCGATAACTAGGACTGGGACCACTGAAGAAGCAAGGATGAATTGATGAAAGAGTGAAATAAAGGCGCCGAGGAACTTTAGCGCCAAGATTGTCTTCTTGTCCCGTGACTCAGTGCTTCTTTACAGCTCTGAGTAGCCTGGCTAGCCGTCTTGTAGTTAGCGAAGATAAGTCATTCGCTAATAAAGCCTGGTGGCAAGGGTTCGTGAAACATCATACTCAGGTTTTTCAAGCTCCGCCGCAGGGAAAACTGACTGGCATCAAAAAAATTTTAGTGAGCATTTGGCAGGCGGAGTTTGAAAATTCTGAGTATGAGTGTTTCACGAGCCCTTGCCACCAGGCTAAGCTCTGAGATCTGAGTCTTTACTCCGATACTCGTGGCACGGCGGACGCAAGGCTACAAATGGTGGATTTAGAAGGATGTGTCGCGTCGCCGGAAGATTGCTGTAGGAGGTGAGTTGCTTCCCTGTCTCACTTCATTGTTCTCAGTAATCCACAAGGTTTGTGAAATCTGCTGCAAAATGGAACCCGGATGAATAGGGATGAATCGATGACTTGTGACGAGATTTGCATCACAGTCATAGATATGCCCATGAACCAGAAGAAAGACAACTCTTATGTCAGACTTCGCCCAGCGCCACGGCGTTGCCAACCATTTCTGTACTCGAAACACCCATATCCACGGCTTCGGGATCAATTTTTGGCTCTCCGTCAGCGCGTTTTTGGCGGTGCCTATTGCATTGCAGACTACTCTGGTACACGACCAATCTCTGTCTCTTGAATATCACTTATTTTTCTCAGCGCCCGACCTCGCCACTCCTTTCCCTCAACGTTCAAACGTTCAATCATGGGATTTCATGATCGCTTCTTCACCCAGTCCTGCTACAACCTTTTACTCGACATGACTGACTTGCAAGACTTTCAGGCGTTCGCAGTTGTCGGCCCTTTGGATTGCTAGAAAATACCAGGGATGTCTTTTCCGATGTACGTTTGCCTCTCCTTCCCAATCTACCTAATCTTATCTAACCCAACTCGTCCAGCTACAAACAAACCTCACACTCCTCAACGACGTTATATGGTGCACCTGCGACCCGCCTCCAGGCCTCCAGGACTCGACCAATGCGCCAGTACCATGTCCACCTTCGCCTCTGCCCTCCAATCCGCCTGTACCACTGACCTCACTGCCTCCAACCTTCACCCTGCAAGCCCTCCACGCGGTATCCCTCACCTTCTTCACCGGGTACCTCATCGCAGTGGCAAATACGACGACGCCGACATGCTCTTCGGCTTGCATGAAAGCCGTGATGGGGTTGTATGTGGATATGAATGGCGCGCAGTTGAGCGGGCTGGCGGGGTATATGGGGCCGCGTGGGTGTTGGCGGCGGGGAGTGTTTATCAGCGCTGCCGTTCATCGTTCATTGGAGTGCCTTTTTATATCATTACTTATCGGCTTTTTTGGATCTGCCAACTCCTCTCTGCTTTCTACGCTCTTGCTTGTTTAAATCTCCTCCCATCCCCATTTTTGCTCATATATACACCATTATATCGCTACTAGCTATCTTCTTTGCCTCGAGTATCGTTATCTTGGCGCCCCCACCCTTATATCGTAACCTGTAAGTGGTTCGGAGTCATTGGTCCGGGAAGATATATACTGAAGTACTCGTTCAGGTCTACTGCCTTGAATCAAGCTTCGAGCTCCGAGGTTGATAATCGAATCCGCCGTGCCACAAGTAGAGAATAGAGACGAATGATCTCAACCAGTTGTATTACATATTACCAATCCAGAAGCAGAGCAATTACATGGGCATATGGTGTAGGGGTTATCACGTTCGCTTTGCATATGTTTGGAAGTTGTCTGCGAAAGGTCTCCGGTTCAAATCCGGATTTGTCCATGCAACAAGCTGAAACCTGTTTTTTTTTTCCTACCTGCTTACTTATTTTCTGTACATCTGTACCAAGATCCTGTTCTCTCTCTTCGTAGTCCAAGTATTTGAAATTTCTGAAAGGTTTCCGTAACTTTCTTGTACCCCCGGCATCAAATACTTTCTATCAGAGTGGAGTAACAGGTTGCAGAGTTAAAGTAAACTGTAATGGTATATGGGCATATGGTGTAGGGGTTATCATGTTCGCTAAGACTCGCTTCGCATCCATTGAAGGATTCTACAGTCTTTGTGCCAAAAGGTCTCCGGTTCAAATCCGGATTTGGCCATAGTTATTGATACAGCAGACGCTAGTAGTTGACTCCTTTTTTTCCCTTGTTTGTTGACTTGGTAATCATTGATCAGTGCAAGAGTATGTTCTGTCGCCATAGTTCAAGTTTTTCATAACTTCAGTCCTTATAGTACTGCTGTTATCCATCTTTACTTCAAAGTTTTGATGCTATGGTGCTGTACAAGCCACGTCACAGAGTTACATTGGGAATATCATATAGGCATATGGTGTAGGGGTTATCACATTCACTTTGCATGAACTCCCAGACCCGGTTATTTGCAAAAGGTCTCCGGTTCAAATCCGGATTTCTCCTCTCGGTACTGCCTGTGCTATTGATGTTGTTTTTATCCTGCTTGCCTGCGTGGCTATCACTCCGAGGTCATGTTCTCTCTTCGCTTAAGCTCAAGCCTTTCTCAAACTTCAAGGTTAATAGCCAAGAACCTTTGCGTACTTCCGCTTTGTTTTTGTGACGCTTAAAATGATGGAAAGGCGGCACCCTGATGGGAGACCGGGGCCGGGGGATGGGTCATGTTGGGCATCCCGATGTTTGAAAAGAAAGCATCCCCAACTTTGTTCTGACTCTCCTGCGGCTCCCGTTGCTGTACATCTGATCGTAGTATGTGAATGGTGTGCCTTCAAAGTGGGCGTACTTGGCTGCATTAATAAATTCCAACTCCGCTACCATGTAAATGTCGGCATCTTGATGTTTTAAAAATACATAATTTGGCGGCGTACAACATTCTCGATCTTTGAATGGGGTCTCTGATGTATACTATATTTAGCGCCACGTACCAAAGCCTCGAGCTAAGAAATTTGGAGATCAAGTGCAATACATAGCTCTTATTATCAAAAGTAAGTAGTACAAGTACGATCAAAGTACGTCAAGTACTTCAAGATCAGTAAAACGTGGCTGAACTGGAGCCCCTGTCAGGTACCATGCAGCTGGTTCGAGGCTTCCAGCGGCTATCAGCGGCCCCCAGCACTGTACAGTGCCGGAAAGTGGCTTCCCGTTCATAGACATTTTGCTGATCAAGTTGTGCGTGACAAAGTAAGTACCTTGTGTAAGGACAAGTACACGGATTGAAACTCCGACAAGTAACTTTGTCACCCACGCTCTGCCAGGTTGAACTTATTCTAATACTTAACTTGGTCTGGCTGTGTATGATAGATGGACCTGTACAATATAGTCTGTTATAGTAAATGTCTGAAGGTGCCCTTAATGAGGATAAATTACAGGTACACAAAACAGAAATAATTATTATAACAATTTCAACTTTCAAGGTACCAATCTTTTAGAACAAAAACTCTGGTAATAAATTGCCGCCGTAAGTTGTAACTGATTAACTGGACTTCAAGGAAGCTCGACAGACCCGGCGATATACCTTACCGGACTGGGCACCATCATTAAGGCCCGACAAGCAGTACCCACCTCAAGCCTTCTTTTATTCTCTGGAAATATCTCTTTGAAATTGTTTCTGATTACGGGAACACGCTGGGTGCGTAAAAGAATAACAAAATCTCTGCCGTAATGAACCAGGGTTTGAAGTTTGCAAGACTTATCCTCCAAAATTCAGACAATTCCTGTAAACTGCCGTAAAGCTTGCTGTAAATATGCATGTCATGAAAAAAGGATGAAAATAGCGATCCGTATGTGGAAAACAAGGCTTTAGCAAAGGCCAGGAGGATCGCTGAATCTTAAGATACCATTTATCATGCCAAATGGAATGAATTTCTGCAAGTTAGCCAGGGTCATTGGTGTGAATGAAGACCACGTCCTCGGGGACCGATATTCCTATCAATAACACCCAACTGCCGACTGATAAAAGGCCTTCATTGTACCGTTAATACCCCACATTGGAAGTGATGAAAGAAGGCGCCAAATTCTTTGAGACTGCTCCCTCTACACCCGGAAAAAGTGTCTCGAAAGACTACCTCTCTCGCCTTCAGCTCCTCTTTCGCGAAATTGATTATCGCTATGTCGCTCCACAACCCCCTTCTATGGACTTCCTCCGCTCTCACCACAGCTGGATGCATGATACATTTGGGCCTACAACGTCCTGGACCACAAGCCAGCTTGATACCCTTGGAGATGCAACCTTTTCTATTGCTGAAAGGTTTTACCCTTTTGCTGACATTGAAATGAAAGCTATTATGGCAAAGTTGTCTGCGATTGTAATCCACATTGATGACTCGTTGGAAGACGACACCATGTACAACGAGATTGGCAGCTTCGTACACCATGTCTTCACAGGCAAGGCCCAGCCATCTGCCCTGCTCGATCTTTACCACGAATGCATCAAGGAGATGTCCCATCTCCATGAAGGAGACCCAGTGCTACAAGCAGCAGCCGTTATACCCTGGATCAATTACATAGATGGGTGTCTCCTGGAGAAGCGTCTCTTGACCATAGACACCGAACTGCGTGCTAGTCCCTATGATATGGGATATCAGAATCTTGCCAAACAACGGTGTCATTTTACAGGTCATGCGGCTCGAGAGACTTTGCCAGGAGCTAGGGTTCGCTTGTAAGCCGATAGCATCATGGTACCGTGCACATATCCTCATATATTTGTTCAAGCCCGCTTTACATTCGCCACAGAACAGGCATTGCGGAGGCATATGCAGCTGCCATATTCAAATCAACTAAATATCAAGACTTGCCTTTGTCTAGATATATCATGGCATTGCCTGATATCACATTTTATACTGTAAGTATGAGCTGTAATACTTAGTGTGCATGGTTACTCATAATTTTGCAATAGTTGGTCTTGAACGATCTGATTTCCTTTCACAAGGAAGAGCTGGGTGGTGAAACTGTTAACATGATTCACCTACAGACACAATCATTTAAGGGGTACGCAGGCTCAGGTGCATCTGGGGAGTGGACAGTATCGGATACATTCAACCTCCTCTGCAACCAAGTGAAAGACGCCACTGACAGGATCGACGAGATTTTGAGGTTGCAGGATTGTGAGAGAATAGCAAGGGAGAAGTTGGATAGTAGGGATATAGGACTCTCAGACATTGATGTGACAATCGCGCTCCAGTGGCGAGAGTACAGGGACGGCTATATTTCATGGCATCTCGAGTCACAGCGGTATAAGTTGGACTTCCTTCGGCTTGAGCAGTTCGGACCGAAATTCCATAGCGTTTCAAGAAGCTGAAAGGATTCATGACAACCAAGAGTGACATGTAGTGACCTGCTTTATGCTCATACGATATCTCCTACTCTCATATATTTGTACTCGATAGTTTTACAAAAGCAAACAATAACGTCAAAATTTATGGAACCTTGTCCCTGCGGAAATTACATACCTGAAGCGAGCGATCTTATGATATATTCAAGACTCACCAACCTTGACTCCAAATTATACAGGCCGATAATCTTTGAATGGCTTCTTGATGTGCCGGTTTCTTAACTCAACCCCGTGAGTATGTCATGGGATTGAAGCAGTGTCACATCATGAAAGGCCTAGGATAGCTATGAATGTTTTCATAACTGAGTGGTGAATCGTGATAAGGCCTACAGTTGTTAACGGACTATCCATTCTATTAAGTATCTCATTGAGGTTTCCAGCACGACTGTAATTTGGCTGGCACCAGAATTTCTGAAAGCAACGGCAGCGGTGATGTTGCGGATTCGATAAAATCATCAATTGGATGGATTGAATTGATTGAATATTTGCTACTAAATTTGGATGCTGTCAAAAATCGCAAGGGTGTCAACCGCTTTAGAACCACATACGCTTCTTCTGTGACACTATAAGTAAATGGGTTTAGGTGACATGTGGGGAGAGGAGTGTTAATGATGTTGACAGAAACGAGTCTACGTAGCTTCTTCTGTCCTCCGGGCCGTATGTTTACTACCACTTTCTCTTGATTTTAAAATTGGGCTTGAAAAAAACTCACCTTAGGGGTTGAAGGGAGTGCGAGAGGGCTTAGTTTCCAGTTTACAAGCAGATTCGATGTATCATTACTTAATCCACGGTAGTAGTAATGCATCCAGGGTGATACTGTATGACTTTTCAATGGTGCACAGAACGGTAGCCCCAAATTCGGTTTCAACAGACTTCCGCCGCGGGTATCACACGGGAAGGGTAAAAAATTCTGCTCGGCAGATATGCAATCCAATTCTTGACATTTTGGCGGATCTTTCCCCTACATAGAATTTGTTACTGAACTTTGTGTATTCGATACAATAGATAACTTGTGTGAAATCTCCCATTTTAGTATATCATTTTACAAAATTGAGAGATTAACTGAATTTAGACAAATATACGCTATCAAATAAGTCACAGAATGCTCCTAAATCCAGGTAGCTGAAAAGACAATTAAAATTTCTCGTATCTTGAGTTGCGAAAAGTTAGAGTTCGGCTGGTTTTTCCCATGTGCGTAATTATTCAATTCCAATTGTCTTTTCCCTCAAGCCGAAAAGGCCGCTAAAAACCAATTCACTTATTTGATAGCGTATATTTGTCTAAATTCAGTTAATCTTTCAATTTTGTAAAATGATATACTAAAATGGGAGATTTCACACAAGTTATCTATTGTATCGAATACACAAAGTTCAGTAACAAATTCTATGTATGTGAAAGTTCCGCCAAAATATCAACAATCAGATGGCAATTCTGCCGAGCAGAATGTTTTATCCTTTTGGTGTGTATATTTAAACTTCAGAGCTAGAATGAAAAGAAATTTGTCCTAACCATTTCTACTATAACCCATCTCCTCCCTTCAGGCTTATATTTTCCCCGATGTTTACGAGTGCATTCTCATTTGCCAAACTCTCAATTTGTTATTGAGTGGGCCCTTGAATCTTAATTCAATATACGATACACAAGCCCGCGGGGATGATGATGCGTATTGGAAAGAAAATTAAAATGTATCCGACCCGCCAATACCGCTATCCCACTATAAAAGCCTGCAATCCGTAGAGACTGACATAGCAAAAGTAATGCCAGGAGAGAATCATCCTTTGTCCGCCCTGGAGAAAGGCAACCCAAAAGGCTATATTTCTCGCCTTCAGTTCCTCCTTCACGAAGTCGAATATCGACATATCCCCTCATCTCCTCCCATCGAGCTCCTTCGTTCCCATAACAGCTGGACTCATGATACTCTGGGGCCAATGACACCGTGGACTAAATGTCACCTTGATGCCGTTGCGAAAATGTCTCTGGATTTGCCCTACAAAGCCTACCCTTATGCTGATACCGAAGTGATAGCTGTTATCGGGAAGCTTACTGCCCTAGTGCTCTACATTGATGACTCGCTGGAAACCGCCGATGGTATTGTGTATGATGAAATTGGTAGCTT